ACTGAGACCTGAAAAAAATGTGCAAAAATTCTCAATGATCCAGCATACTCAGACATTTCTCCCATGAATTTTCCAATTTTTTTCCTCACTTTGACATTTCACACGAGACACCTTAAGATCTTCGAAATCTCAAAATGAGGATTTTTTTCGGGGGCAGAAACTGTGCCATGGAAATTTCCCTAATTGAGAGTGGGGTAACCTCGGAGGTTATAGCTGGAGGGGTTACAAAAACCTCCAAATTTCATCATTTTTTTTCTCGACACTGAGACCTGAAAAAAATGTGCAAAAATTCTCAATGATCCAGCATACTCAGACATTTCTCCCATGAAGTTTCCAATTTTTTTCCTCACTTTGACATTTCACACGAGACACCTTAAGATCTTCGAAATCTCAGATAAGGTTTTTGTTCGGGGGCAGAAACTGAGCCTCTGGCGGTAGTCTTCCATTCTCAAGATCATCTCTTCCAACATCTGATCCCTACGGTTTTAACAACAGTCAATCATTTTCGTTGTCATTTACCTTCTCAATTGACTTTCACGAATGAAGATTACCCAAAAATCTCAGGAATTCATTTTCTTCCCAGGTTTATCAAGCAGACTCTGACCTCTACGTCAAACGTGACAAATACTGGGGGCGTGAGCTCAACGAGGAGGGCTTCAAGAACGCGCTGTACCGTTTCTTCCACAATGGCTACTGCCTCCGGACCCCCGTCATCCAGCGAGTGATCTCCCGCCTGGAGGCCCTCCGCCGAGGCATCGAACGCCAGAGCAGCTATCGCTTCTACTCCTGGTGAGTGACCCACCCCCTCCCCCAGCAATCAATCACCAACAAAAATCAAACAATTTTTCAGTCCAAACGAAGACGAAAAGCTCAATGAACTAATGAATTGGACTAATCAAGAAAATTATCAAAATTCATGCCAGCAGAGAAGTGGTGAAAGGAGATTAATCCAAATAGATTTTCATGTTATTTTGCGAATGAGTAGGGAAATGATAATGAGTGTTAAGAGCAGATGAGCCCAGATCAGACGATGCGCAGATTATTTCGAATATCTGCGGAACGACGAAGTTCAGAGAAGAACATTTTCAGTGGAGCGTTTGCTTTCCTCAATCCATTCTTATCCAGGAAATGATCTACGGACAATATCCTTTGACATAAAAAAGATAAAATAATTGCATTGAATTCGTTGTTAAGTTCGATTTAGGGGAAAAAGTTCAAAAATATTAATTTTTGTTGATAATTCAATAAAAGAATTCTTCAGCTAATTAACATTTTCTCTTAAGGCCCGGGTGGATTATCTTTCGAACGTGATCTTGATTGTTTTTTTCATTTTGATAATCTGAAATGATCTTCAGTTGCTACACTGAGAGACTGTGTACTTGTGATTTAAAATCGATGAAGTAGCTGAATGAATAAAAAATAATTGTAAATAATTGTAAAATCCTAAAAACAGCCAATTGATCATTCAATTATCTCAGCGACGATCCTGCTAGCTTTTTTGCCCCTAAAAATTCATCAGAAAAAGCTCTCGACATTTTCCCCTGAAGCTCTCCCGCTCTAAATCCCCCAAAACCCCCCCAAATTTTCAGACTTCAGACTTTGAAATACTAAAATCAGATAATCCAATAGTGAATCAATTGCACTCAGTCTGTCACGATCCCAAAAAACGTCCTCTTCACGAGATAAAATTATTCGATTGCCAAGAAATGCGAAGCATTGAGGATGAAGTGAAGTCCATTTCACCTAATCCCCAAGCCCTCTTTTCACCACTTCACTCTCGCCCCAATAAACCAGCCATCAAAAAGAACTAGGGCCAAATGTGTAATATTCCCCAGCCTCCGGGACAGCTGAAGGTGCTCGGGCCTCCTCTCATCACCCAATGATTACGGTCAAGTCTCAAAACCATCATTACCCAGACCCCAAAACCCTCAAACACTGACCCCCATCCTCTTCTTTCAGCTCCCTCCTAGTTGTCTACGACGGCTACCAGATGTCGGACTACAAGACACGTTCGCGAAGTCCTCTGACAACCCTCGGTGTCGAGGAGGAGTCCAACGAGTCCAACAGTTTCATGGACAATCACCAAAGCAGTTCAAACTCGTACCTGGAGGACAATCAGTTGCGATTGTCCAATGATTTTCACTCGGTCCATGAAGATGTCAATCCCTCGACACTTCATCGTGCCTTTGGTGAGGCAGCAGCGAGAGGGGCTAAACATGCCACTGGATTCTATCCCATTAGCGAAGAAACTGTCTTCATGGATCCACCTTCGGATCTTCTCAATGCAACTGTTGTACCTTCTCAAACTTATGAGAACTGGATCGGATCGTATAGCAATACTGGCAGCAATACTTCAGGTGAGACAGAGAAAAATCATTTTTTATGCTTTCTGTGGCTAGAGATGCAAAGTGACCGTTATTTTTTAGATCGTCATATGACCAAAAAATGACGGTCATGTGACGCGCAAATTTTCCCAACTACAAATGATTGTCACAAATCATTTGTAACCAAATTGTTGTCAAACCATCTAGGGGAGGGTGGGGTAAAATGGACACTTTTGACTTTTTTAACATTATTCATAACTCAGAAACAAATTTATTAATTGAGATCAGTTTAAGCTCATCACAAAGAAAATGAATTGTTGTTTGTATTGAAAAAAAAAATTACAAAATTTCTTCAACATTTCAACCCGTCATTAACATTTTAAAAAAAGTCAAAAGTGTCCATTTTACCCAGGCCTCCCCTATATAGTTGCATAATGACGGTCATAACTAATTTCCAATTTGTCACGGTCATGAATAAAACAAAATAGTTTCATCTATATGGATGGAAAAAAAAACGTGATTTCCATTTCAAAATGCGGATTAGGCCAATACAAAAGGAATTCAACTGAAAATTGACCGAGAAAAAAATAAAGTATCATCTATATAGATGAAAAATGACTGTCATTTTTTTCTTGACAAGTTGCGACGGTCACAGAAGGGGGAGGGGGAGGGGGAATTGTGACAGCCGTCATGAACACCTCGTCATGTGACCGTTAAAGACGGTCTCATGAGCAAAATTTGGATGAGAGTCTCAAGGGTCAAGATCATAGTGACCTTACGTTCAGGATCATAAAAATTTTAAGGTTCAAAATTCGGAATATCCAGCATATTAATAGAGACAAAGCCACCGATTGTTACCAGCAAGAGGCAGAATTTTGGTAAAAGTCTTCAGAGTCAAAATCTTATGTATTTAAAATATAGACATAAAAGTCAGCTATCGGCCTCAAATAAGACTCAGAAGTTGAATAAGAGTCTCACCGGTCATGGTTTATGACCTCAAAGTCATAATGATACCGTTAAATAATGAATACATTATATTCAGGTAATGTCTCCTCATCGTCATCGTCATCATCCAGTGGATCTGGTGACGAATACTGCTGCGTTGGACAGCACACAATAACAAACTCCGACGATTTATCATCGGATCTGGACATTGGTGGTAAATGCACGTTAAAGCGCACCCGGAATAGAGGAAGACTCAGGTATTGCGAGGACGAGGACAGCAAGGACGACCTCAAGAGCTCGAACAAGAGGCCCAGGGTCAAGGGGGATGCCAAGGTCGATCTGCAGGAGGATCCCACTGTCGATGTGAGAATCATTGACTTTGCTCATACAACTTTTGGACATAATGTGGGGGGAGGGGGGAGTAAAGTGCATCAGGGACCTGATTGTGGGTTTTTGACTGGGTTGGACAGTCTCAGGAGACTGCTGGGGGAAATTCTCGCCGAGNGGGGGGGGGGGGGGGAGAAAGAGAGAGAGAGAGAGAGTGCGAGGGAGAAGATTCTTGGATCGAGGAATTTTGGGAGCTCTTGGTCATTGTGACTTTTTATTTCCTTTGAAAAAATTTCTTGAGGTTTTACTGAAACCTGACGATTATTGGACATAATCATCGGGTTGCAGTAAAATGTCAATGGATCATAGTGGCGTGATAGTCAACTCGAGTTAATTGAGGTAATTTGTGACTATTTGAATTCATCCTGAGGACTCGTTTCAATATGTTGAGTGGAAGGTGAAGGGAAAGTGGTGAGAGAAGAGTTGTGACGTCTTTTTCGTCATGATCTGAGCAGTTTGGCAATGTTGCTAATAATTTGAAGGAAAGGGGAAGAGCGGGAGAGACTGGCGGAATATTTAGAGGGGTCTTACATTGTTTACTCTAGGGGGCACCTGATTGGTGACGTTTTCGTTCGAATCACTCGAGTAGGGTGATGATTCAGTAGTGAAGCGGGAAAACGGTTTGAGTCGACTTGGCTCTCAGCTGAGTGTTCGAGGAATATCTACGAATCTATGGGAGATAGAAAAATTTTTGTCATGACCTTTTTTGAAGGGCTTAATTCGCTTTACAAAAAAGGTTATGACAAAAATTCTCCTATCTGCCTTAGATTCCGAGATATTCATTGAGAATCAGCCCTTAGCAGAGAACTAACCCTTAGCTGAGTTTTTGAGGAACATCTCGAAATCTAAAGGAGATAGCAAAATTCTTGTCATGACCTTTTTTGAAGATCTTAATTCGCTTTACAAAAAAGGTTGTAACAAAAATTTTGATATCTGCCTTAGATTCCGAGATATTCATTGAGAACTGACCAATAGTAAACATTTATTTAAACCGTTTTGCCGCTTCGCTACTGAATTAGAAAATCGTCAAAAGAGTTTCAAAATTTTTGAACACTTTTCAAAAACAGTCTTGTTTTTTTCAGAATTTTTTACTCAGTTGTCTAATAGATATTACAAAAACAAAATGAACTTCACTGCAATTCCCTCCTGTGGTCACTGAGAGAAAAACGAGCAAGTTCCTCAAACAAGAGGATTTATTTTGCCTCACTGTCCCCTATTTAAGGTGAAACGGAACCCCTGTGTCTATATGAATTTTTAAAATTGTGTTTTCTCCTGCAATTATTATTTTACATTTATGAAACTCAATGAAGTATTGACTCAACAATGCAATGATCGAGTCGATAAAGTAGTTTCATAGATAAAAATTAATAATTGAAGGAGAAAACTCAATTCTAAAAGTTCACACAGACAAAGGGGTTTCATTTCCCCTTAAAAGATAATTATCGAAATTTTGCTCCTCGGGGTCGGAAGATCCTGGGTTAAAATCCCAGTCTGGACTATCCATTTTTTCAGCAGATTTTTCTTGTAAACTAATATCGGGAATGATCCTGGTCCCCTCCTACTTACTCCAAAATCCTATTCTCCAATATCCTGTGACTTAACAAGATGTGGAACGCTATATAGGCACGTATGAAAAAATCGCATAGAAATATTCTATACGCATTGCGTATAGAAATTCTATAGGGTTTCCGTATATGATATTCGGATATTTCTATACGAATTATTTCTGTACATAAATTTTTACATAAATTTATGTTTTCAGGCCCGAGCGTACTATTTTTCGAAAGTTATCTGGATTTTTTTCACCTTTCGTAATCCAAAATTGTTAATTGAGTGGTACATCATGTAGAAATTTCCAAAAATTATGATAGAATGATAAAAAAAATATAAAAAATTCTGAACTCTTGCAAAGAGCATTTTTAATTGAGATTCAGAATGAGTTGAAAAAGTGGAAATTACAAATATCTGATTCGCTGTGGCAAATTATCTATTAGCTGTCATTTTCCATGGTGGATAACAAAACACTAACTCCTCATGGGAAGTGACAGCTAGGTATCTCAATTATCAAAACAGTGGTATGTAGTCATCTGCCATTTTTATGTGATAAAAGTCTGATTAAAGAATTCTCCAAAATATTACAACTTTTTTCAAAGAGCCTTTTCCGTAATAAATGTCTCTGTGCAGTGTTGGAAAAGATTTACGAAATCAGTCTTCCCCCTGCATGATATTGGGTGACAGGCCGCCATTTGTCACCGAAACTCAGATAAATTTTTCAATTTCTTGTTATTCAACTTCTTCTGAATATAAATTAAAAATGCTCTTTGAAAAAATTAAGAATTTTTTTTACTTTTTTTTTATTATTCATTCATAATTTTTCAAAACTTCTGTATGATGCAGGATTTAATTGGCAATTTCAGATGACGAAAGATGAAAAAAACATCGAGATAACGTTCGAAAGACAGTAAACCCGGGCCTTAAGCAAGACTTGTTTGAGAATTTTAATTTCTCTCAGTGTGAGGGTCATTTGACACAATTTCGAAGCAGAGCATCTATTCAGTAGAAATATGACGGTAATTCCGTCATAATTTATCATGTTACACCTGTCATGAAATTTTGGCATAACTCTATTCTAAATTGTAGGGTTGATCAATCAAGTCGCGTTTCGTTGTGATTTTACTGGGATTTATTTAAATACTGTGGGAAGAAAATAGTTCAGAAAATGCCAGAAGAGAGCTTTTGTAGATAATGAAATTAACTACAAAAGAAGTTTGGAGGAATTCTGATGTAAAATTCATAATCAAGAAGATAATTGATTAATCGAGTCATGTCATTTTCTCAAGTGATCATGATCATCTGAGATATTTTATTGATTCGTTTAAATATCTTGTGAATGGAGAGCTTCAGCCAAATTGTCTGGAGTGAGTTTAATCTAAACCTCTTCCCTTCGATAATTTGGTCATGTGACACAAATTGCTGGAGGAAAAGTTTTTCGACATTTTTTTCTGACATCTGATATATTCTATTGATTTGGTTAAATATCTTACGAATGAGATATTTAAACGAATCGCTTCAGCGAAATTGTCTGAAGAGAGTTCAGTCTAAACCTCTTCCCTTTACAAATATCATCAACATTCAACAGATGAATAGTCGACTCGTCCACGTCAATTAGCTCATGAGGAAATAAAAATTCATGGCAATGTGCCAATATCGATTATCCAAGAGGGTGAGTCAGGGGTCAAGTTGATCTCGAACTGAATAATTACCCAATGATTGTTAAGTGATTCACAATCTCCAATTAACTTGCCTTAAATACATCGGACCGAGAATACTTCTCCCCCTCAAAATTTCGGAGTCTATTGATAATACAGGAAAAATCGCTGAAGTTATTTATTCTCCGTAGTCCATTTAATGGTGGATTTTTAGAAGAATTCAACGAAAAATTGTTCCTCGCAGTGGGGGACAGTTGGGAAATTTTTTCTTTCTCGATTTGTTGGGAATTTTTTCTGTCATTCCGTTATTCAACAAGAAAAAAATGCGTGACAAGAAATTTATGAAGGAAGACTCTGGTGAAATTTGAAAGTCTGCATTTGGTCAGAGGGAAACTGAACTCTGGGTATTTGTTGAGATATTTGGGGCTCACGCAAGGGGGAGGACAGTCCAAATTTTAATCCATTGAGCTGAAAATTGGTTCACATACAGTTGATCTGCGCACGAATAAAAACAAGCATTTTTTTTCAAGCGTTTATCAAAATTGTTGTTTTTATTCGTTGAAGCTAAAAATTTGTTGACTTTGCTTGATTTTTAAAATATATATTTTTACAAAATCTATACTTCTTTTTATTTGTTTACATAGCAGCTGTATGCGCATCAATTTTGGCTCGATCTATTGGCAATTTGAACACTTGAACGATTTTTGAGGATTTGGATTTTTAATTCCTTGTGCAACTTGAAATTCTCCGGAGTTTGCTTATTTTTTGAAGGTCCTAACGAGTGCCAAGAACTTTTGCATTTATGAAGCTAGAATTTCTTGGTATTCGTTAGGACTCACAAAAGTGGAAAATGTCTCAAATCTAAATCGATGGAACTAAATCGATGTAATCGATATGTCAATTGGTTGAATTTATTTGATTTTGAAAAACATCCATTTCTTCAAAAATCCATAATTTTTTATTCGTGCACTTATCAGCTGTATGTGTATTCATTTTGACTCGATCGATCAGAAATTTAAACACTTGAACGATTTTTGATCATTTGGATTTTTTCAATTCCTTCTGAAACTTGAAATTCTCCATAATTTGTCTATTTTCCCCTTTTTAAAGCTCCAACGACTGCCCAGAACTCTCAGATTTTCGCAAAATCTAGGGGCTTTCATTTTTCACTTCAGTCTCCCCTAAATAAATTTAGAATAATTCAGTAGTGAAGCGGTAAACCGAGTTAAGTCGATTTTGACTATTAGCTAGTTTTTGCTGAATATCTCGGAATCTAAGAGAGATATCAAAATTTTTCTTATGACTTTTTTATAACGCTCTATTGGCTCTACAAAAAAGGTCATGACAAAAATCTTTCTATCTCTCTTAGATTCCGAGATATTCGTCAAAAACTAGCCAATGGTAAAAATCGACTTAATCCGGTTTACCGCTTCGCTACTGAATTTCTACTTTCGATTGTGGACTCGATCGATTGACTGATCGAGTCGTGGATAAATTATTGTTTTGGGGATGTAAATAATGTATAAATATTTGGGGAAGTTATAGGAGGAGAAAGGGAGGGGGTGGAAGAGTGGTAGAGGCGAAAAATATTTTTGTCTCTTGGACAGTATTTTTTTCTGTTTTTCTTAAAAATTATATTATCGATGAGGATGTGTAATGTTGATAGGAGTATTTTAAAATAGAAATTGTATTGTGAGGGATACATTTAAGTGAGATATTTATTGCGTACGGGCAAGACGAAGTAATAAAATTACTAATGAAAAAAAAATCAACACATGGAATGTAAATAGGAGTGCGGAAAATTTGTGATTGAGAGGAACTTTTGGAAAAAGATAGGAAAGTTGAGAAATTGATTTTTTTTAATCGACAAGAAAAATCAGTAGCGAAGGGGTGAAACGGAGTTTTCGAGCAATATCTCCGAATCTAAGGGAGATAACGAAATTTTCGTAATTACCTTTTTTGTAGACCCAATTGAGAGCTACAAAAAAGGTCATGACGAAAATTTTGCTATCTGCTCTGGATTTCGAGATATTCATCAAAAACTGGCCAATTGTCAAAATCGACTAAAAATTTTTCACTTTTTCGCTGCTAAAATAATATTGCAATCGATCAGGCGTCCGAAAAATTCCCACTTATCTCCTTTCAACGTAGATTTTTATGAAGTACGAGTTGAATATTATGTATTAAGCAAAATGAAAGATAAAACTATTTTTTTTTTTTAATTAAAAAAAATTAATAACTCGCCTAAGGTAAATAGTTTTTGTTGTTCATCTATGTGACGTTGAGAATTGATATTTCATGTGTAACTTGTCCGTACAATTAACGATATGAGGAAAATTTAATTTTGATTTCAAGTGTAAAATTGTGAAAATGATGTTCTGAGGAATAAACAAAAAAAAATTAGAAAAATTACTGCTGTTGTTTTGAATGTGTTTTTTTATTCATGTTTATAAATGATAAGTTAATAAAAATATTTTGATCAATCCATTCAATGGTTCAAGGCACGAAATATTAACCTGGGGGGAGGGGAGCAATTGAATTGTTTCATTTTTTCAATCAATGAAAACTTCTTATATTATTAATCAATAACAAGACTTTACATTACAGGTAAATTTGATTCTCTACATTAGTTAAACATAATGGTAATAATGGTAATTAGAAAAAGAGTAATTAATCACTGGTAAATACAATAAATATGAAATCTAGAGTAGAAATTACAGAATTCTCTACGATTATTAGTCGATCGATAGATGATTACATTTTTTGTTGGTTTTCGGGGATTTTTTCAAAGAAATTGATTCAGTATTGAAATGGTAAAATGTAACAGATGAAAATTGAAGTGTCAGAAGACTTTTTTTTTGTTGGAAATTTCATTTTCAACAAAAATGTCTGACATTTTCTCGAAAATCCAATAGTTTCTGTGAATTACGTAATTAATCAATCGTTGAGGAGAGGTTGATCTCCATCTTCATGAGCTTCTTGTTTTATTCTAGAAGACAATGTAGAAATTGCGGGAAATTTTTTTTGCCAAAAAATAAATCTCACCATTTTCTTCTAAATTCAATTGTTTTCGAGATACTTGCATGATAAAAAAAATACTCATTACGTTCTACCATTTCACCACAAAATCATGATCGATTACTGAATAAATTAGTTTTAGTTTGTTAACATAATCCTTTTGTTTAAATTACTACGAGCTTACAAGCATTTTTGATTCGACGTGAACAAGTGAAAAATGTAATTATCTTAACACTTCCTTACAAAAATTCACGGACGATTCCTGATAATAATTAGCAGTTCTTCATCCTTATTTTGACCGTGCACAATTCTACAATAATGTAAATACAAAAAAAACTCTAAAAAATTACAAAAATCGTCTTCAATTTTTGAGGCCAATTCAGACACTTTTTATGTAATTTTTTGTTCAGTTGATCCCACAAAAATTCCATGAGTTGACAAAAAAAAATTTATCGACTTGAATAATGGACAATTGTTTCAACAATCCAAATAAATCTTTGACTTTCATCGATGAATTGAGCAGGCAATGATGAAACTATTCATATGAAATTTAACGATTCACCCAATTGTGCAAATCAGTAGGGAAAAATCGTTTAAAAGGTTTAATGATTTTGACTATTAACCGGTTTTCAATGAATATCTCGAAATCTAAGGGAGATAACAAAATTTTTGTTATGGCCGTTTTCGTAGCTCTCAATTCGCTCTACAAAAAAGGTTATTACAAAAATTCTGCTATCTGCCTTAGATTCCAAGATATTCATTGAAAACTGACTAATAGCAAAAACCGACTTGACCCATTTTATCTTCGCTCCTCGATTTTCCAAATTTTTTCACTCAATTTTTTTCTATCGAAAAAATCTCATCAGAATAATGCTATTATATAGCAAAATAAAATTCCACTGACTTATCCATAAAATATTTTCCCCATAGAATTTCTCAACGAAAAACTAATGGAATTTTCAATAGAAAATCGATGAAATTTTCAGTAGAATTTTTTTTTTTCGTGGATGACCCCCTTCTTTCCCCGACTTCATCTTCTCCTCGGGGAGAGTGGGGCAAAATGAAACAGCCGAAAACGACTATTTGACGCAATTTAAGCAAAAAAATTGTTCTTATCAACTTTTGTTTATTAACTTTTTTATTATTGGGAGTACTGATGAGGACAATAATTTTCTATTCGGTAGAAAAGAACATGCGACGACACTTTTCTTTTTTCATTCGATTGAACTTCAGCATCACATTTTCCTTTTCCCCCTCTGGGTCACCCCCTGGGCCTTCCCCTGGACTTTGAATTTTGCTGTTTCATTTTCTTTTCAATTAATCCATTGACAAAATCTTCTCCCGTCAAAACCTCTCAATAATTTTCCATTCTACTCACTGAAAAATTATTATTCTCATCAGTACTCTCAATCTATTATAAAAAAATCCAATGTAACGTTTTTTGTCACCGGTTTATTCGGATATATATATATTCTTTTTTTCTAAATACAATAAAACCAAACGAAAAATCATATTATAGCGCCACATGCAATACCATACGCGCGCGTAGCGCGCCTCTCTAGTAATAAAAAAAATTAATAAACTAAAGTTGATGAAAGTATTTTTTTTGCTGGAATATCCTTTCATTTTGCCCCCCCTCTCTCCCCCAAAAATAATTACAGTAATTCACCTGATTCCAGCCAGCCCTTAGATATCCCCAGCAAGTTGATAGTGCCTCCTCCTCAAGGCAGCAAGCTTGAGCCTCTCAGTCTCCAGTGCCTGCTCGAGCTCCAGCACCCTCACCTGCGCCTCCATCTCCAGTCGCTTGGCCTGATGGAGACTGAGCCCCCCCATATCCAGATCCTCGCTCTCCTCCACCATCTGGCTGCAGCTCTTGGCAGTCGCCACAACCCCAGCAGTGGCCTGAGTGACCTCTCTGCTGGCCTGCGTCAAGCCCCCAAGATTACTGGAATTCCTCTCAGCTTTGACTCTGCTAGCCACCACCAGCTGCGCAGTGGACGCAGCAATGCCCTGTGAAGCCACCACCAGCTGTTCGAACTTCCCATCGCCCCCAACAACCTTGTCAGCAGCTTCCAGAAGGAATTTCGCACCCATTCCAATGGCTTTGGCAGCGGAAATCAGGCCCTCGGACCACTGATGATTTCTTTTGTAAAATTCCTTGGCAGAGGCTGTTCCCTTGCCCTGAGCAACGATCTCAGTCTGCAGGAGTCGAGACTTCTTCACCAACTTCCTAATGCACGACATCAGCTCGGTGCAAGAGTCCAGGATTTTTTCGTTCACTTCGAGCTTCAGGCCAGAGTCACCAGCTCGGGATTTGTTCAACATCTCCTGGATCTTGGCTGCTGCTTCCTCAATGGCTTTGTCCATTCCCTGTAATTAAAATGTGGGAATTAGACGGTGACTTGGTACATGCGGAAATGTCAACGGGGGACAGGGCTGAACTGTTAATAAGAAGCTTTGAGTTCTTAGAATAAAAATGAAAAAATGAAAATTCGACAGAGATAAGAGATTCTGGGATAATTGAACAGTTTGTTTAATTTTAATTGAGTCAATTTCTTAGGTGATGCAGTTTGAATAATAAAGGATTTATAGACATGAGTAGATTAATTTCAGAACAGGAAAAATCATCAATTCAACGACGAGGACGATCTTGATTGACGAATTCCAAAGGTTTATATTTCAAAAATCCAAAAGTTGTAAATTAAAAAATAAAAGTTCTGAATGCAGAATCGACATTTCGATAAAATAAGAAAATATGTGCCTCAATTCAAGTTCAATTATACTAGATTCAAGTAAAAATTACGGACGATCAGAAATTTTCTTGGATTGTAGGCGACAGTTTTGTTAAAATAAATAAAAATTTCCCTTATTTCCAGAATTCTTTTCTCGATACATTTCAGTAATAGAAAAACAGTAGATTTCGAAAACGTTTTAACATTGCGAGATTTTTGCCAGAAACAAGAATTTTTTTTCTCTGTCGATTGAGGGCATTTTGTTTGTAAACTAAGAACATTCCAAACAGCATAAACCTCTGTAATAATTAAGTCAACAATCAATTCAACATTCATTGAGTCAATGTGTTAGATCATATACTTTGGAAGACAAAGCATTTATAAAAATCAGTAGATTGATTTCAAAACAGGAAAAAAAATCCAATTCAGAAACGAGCAGGTTTTAATTTAAAAAATCCCACGGTTCCTACCCCAACAACCTAAAAATTGAAAACTCTAAAACTATGATTTCCTTGAGTAAAAAAAAGTGCTTCAATTGAATTTTAATTACACTAGATTCACATAAAGATTACTGAAAATCAGAAATTTTCTTTGGTTTCTAGAGGACCATTTTATAAGTTTAATTTTAATAAAAAAATTTCAAGTTCAATTTTAATAAGTGAAAATTATCAATAAAGTTCAAGAGATGTTGATAAGAAGTGAAAACTTCCCTTATTTCCAGGATTTGTTTTTTCGTTAGATTACCGTACGAGAAAGTTTTAAAATTCAGCAATTTTCGCTAGAAACAAGAATTGTTTTTTTCTATGTCAATTTAGAACATTTCCTTTTGTAAACTAAGAATATTCCAAAGGCATAAATTTCTAGAATCCATAATTCCCCATTACAAACGTAATGCAGCATTAATTGAGTCAATGTTTCAGATCATACTTTGAAAAATTCAATTTAAAAAACGAGAATGTTTTGAATGAAAAATCCGAGTTCAACAATCCAAAAATTTCCAACTCCAGAGTCAAGATTTCCTTAAGTTAAAAAAAAAATGCCTCAATTGAACTTCAATTAAACTATAATAAAGTAAAAATGACTGAAAATCAGAACTTTACTTCAATTTGTTAGGGGAAAAATTTCACAAAACAACTGAAAATCTCCCTTATCCCCAGGATTTTTGACTAGTTAGCTTTTAGTACGATAGATTTTCCAACTTCAAATATTCCCACTTCAACCCAGAAACCCTTCTCCGAAATCCCATTGAGCCCTCTTACCTGCAATTCGCTCTCGACCATGTCTCCAATCCTCTCCACATCCCCCCTAGCCTTGGCAAGACCATTAGCGAGCCCAGAGATCACCTCCAGCTGATCCCTAATCACCTTGAATTGATCCTCAGTCGTCTGCGCCTTGCTCTTGATCATCTGCAGAAGGGCAACCGAAGCTGTTGACAATTTTTTGCACTCATCAGTCAATTTGTCATCGATCGTGATGTCCGTGGAGGTGTTGGAGGTTGACTTGGCGTGAATGAGGTACAAGGACAGGTGATAGGCAAAATTCAGAGAGGCCTTGATCAGCTGTTTTCCTTCTGTCGATTTTTCCTGATAGACCTTGTAACTCGTCTCCAGATCCGAGAGGGATTGCAGGGCTGGAGGCCTCTGGCTCTCCAGGTAATCCGGGGTGCACGTCAGGGCAGCAATCGAGGGGCTCTCGATGGTAACGGAGGTTGTCACCAGGAGCTGCTCTGCTGAGGAAATGGAGTTCAAGATCAGCTCGATCAGAGCAGAGTCTGAGTCTCTCTTAGACTGGACTCTTGTTCTCTCCAGGTCTGAGGTGAGCTCAGCTATTCTCGTGTCGAGCTCCTCCTTCTGGGACAGGAGATCATGCAGGTCACCCTCAGCTAGGGCTTTCTCCGAGGAGATGAAGTCAACCTTAGCCAGAAGGGCGACGTTCTCGTTCTTGAGACGATCGAACTGGATTTGGACCTCCAGGAGTTCAGAGCGAGCCTGGGCGACTCGTTCTGCTTCTTGAGAGGCCGTTGCCTGACCCTGGAGGACCTCCGCCAGTCGCAGGTTTACTTCTTGGAACCGACGGTCTGACTGCTCCAGGGAGAGACGGGTGGACCCCAGGAGCTTGTCCACTTCTGCTTTCTGGGGGGAATAATTTCAATTCAATTTATTTATTGAAGAAAAAAAACCCTTGATTTTAGGAGAGGTTTTCTTTGGTTTACAGCTTTACTAATTTTATATTTCCCACTTTTTGCTTCCGAATGGAAGTTTGACCCCCATAATCCTTATTCTGACCCTCGCGACCCTTATTTTGAGCCTTAATTTCTGACCCTTAATTTTAGAGTCTCATTTCGGGCACTAGATTTTTGTCAGTAGATGTCGATTTGGATTTTTCCAATATAGAGATTGAGACCCTTGTGACCCTTAGACACTTATTTAAACCCTTAATCTGACCCTTGTGACCTTTAACGTTGTGACTCTTGATCTTAACCATTTTCCATTAGAATTTAGTATCTCTCTATATTATAAAAATCCAAATCGACTTCTGGTGATAAAAATTTGGTACCCGAATTTAAGACTTCACAATTAAGGGTCACAAGGGTCAGAATAAGGTTCATGAGGGTCAGAATAAGGTTCATGAGGGTCAGAATAAGGTTCATGAGGGTCAGAATAAGGTTCATGAGGGTCAGAATAAGGTTCATGAGGGTCAGAATAGGAGTCACGAGGGTCAGATTAAGGGTTTAAATAAGTGTCTAAGGGTCACAAGAGTCTCAATCTCTATATTGGAAAAATCCAAATCGACATCTGCTGACAAAAATCTAGTGCCCGAAATGAGACTCTAAAATTAAGGGTCAGAAATTAAGGCTCAAAATAAGGGTCACGAGGGGTATAATGAGGGTCGCGAGGGTCAGAATAAGGTTCATGAGGGTCAGAATAGGAGTCACGAGGGTCAGATTAAGGGTTTAAATAAGTGTCTAAGGGTCACAAGAGTCTCAATCTCTATATTGGAAAAATCCAAATCGACTTCTGGTGATAAAAATTTGGTACCCGAATTTAAGACTTCACAATTAAGGGTCACAAGGGTCGCGAAGGTAAAAATAATGGTCATAGGGTCACGAGGGTGCGAATAAGGATCATGAAGGTCCGAATAAAGGTCATGAGGGTCAGATTAAGGGTCATGAGGGTCAGAATAAGGGTCACAAGGGTAAGAATAAGGGTCATGAGGGTCAGAATAGGAGTCACGAGGGTCAGATTAAGGGTCACGGGACGTATAATGAGGCTCAAAACGGCCGTAGCCCCCTATTTGTTAAAAATAATGGAAAACGGTTGAAAATTGGAAATATCGTCATCATTCATAATCATAACATTTCGGGTGACTCTAATTTTTAGTCTGAATAGTAGAAAACACCTGTTAGGAAACAGAATTATCTCCTGGCCTTTATTAAAGGCCGATGTTTTGTAATAGAGATATCCATCGAAGTCTCTTATCTAATCTCAAACTGATAAAAAAATCGACAATGTCTCACCTTTCGTATTAAACTGATATGTTCTTCTCGAAGTTTGGCATAAACTTCCTTCAGCTTTTGAAACTTCTCATCCAGTAAACGATTTTTTTCTGCGAAGCATTTTTGAAAAAATCGGATTGAGTTAATCATCCATTTGACTCACGATTCAATCACAAAATTGTGTTTTAATAGATTTTACCTTCGAGTTCATGAACTTTTAGTATTAATTCAGCATTTTGCTTTCCTAATGCATCATTGAGGTGTCTCTGCTTCATCAATTCCTGATCCTGAAATTGGATTCAATTTAGAAAATGATAGAATTAATAGAAGTAGTGTTGATATAAAATGAATGGGAGTAATCATTAACTTTCGTATTCCTATTCATCTTTTCGTTTACGGATTTTTTTTCAAAATAATTAATATTTCAACTGTAATTCAGAGCTTTTTACTGAACATTAGAGACTTCTTTCTCTGTGTAAATTTTTTCCTTTGTGTTCCAATGAAATTGACGTTGTTGACCAAATTTTGTCAAGTTATTAAAATTCCTTCGGACCATGTTCAAGTCAGGAACAATGAAAAATCACAAAAATAGCAAAATTAGATTTATGTAAAAATTACTGCGAATTAGAACTCTTTTTTCTAATTTTTAAGCAAAATTTGCTAAAAATGAGTGAAAATTTCAACTGATCAGAAATTAGAAACTTTTTTCTGTGTAAATTAACAATCTTTGTGTTTGTAACTAACAATACGCAAACGAAATTGATAAATTCTATTTCGCCTGTAAAATTTATTTAAGAGATTGCTTTAATTTAATTTAATGAAATTCAATAAACTCCGTTCGACAATATTCACAAATTTATCTCATACTTAATCTTTTTCTAACAGGTTTGAAGCAATGAAATGATGTATCCATGTATTCACCTTGAGAGCAATTTCAGGATCCACTTTTCTCATATGTTGCTTCATTTCCTCGACGAGTCTCTGATGTTCACGAACTAAGAACTGCAGTTCTTCTCTCTGTCTCTCATGTTCCTGCATCATCGCTTCTTGTGCATAATAATGCTCCCTGAAAAGATAAATTTAATTCATAATTTTTCGTAACGTCGGTCTGTGTCGACAAAATGTGAAGCGTAGACTTTTGTTCTATTCCTTTTTCGTACTGTTGAATAAAAAAAAGTATACATATCGATCTTAACTAATTTAAGGCCCGGGTGTACTGTCTTTCGAACGTTATCTCGATGTTTTTTCTCATCTTTCGTCATCTGAAATTGTCAATTGAGTCCTGCATCATGCAGAACTTTTAAAAAATTATGAATGAATAATCAAAAAAAAGTAGAAGAAATTCTTAATTTTTTCAAAGAGCATTTTTAATTTATATTCAGAATAAATTGAATAACAAGAAATTGAAAATTGTATCTGATTTACGGTGACAAATGGCGGCCTGTCACCCAATATCATACAGGAGGAAGACTGATTTCATATATATTTTCCGACACTGCACAGAGACATTTATTACGGAAAAGATTCTTTGAAAAAAGTTGTAATATTTTGGAGAATTTTTTAATCACACTTTTATCACATAAAAATGGCAGATGACAACATGCCACTGTTTTGATAATTGAGATACCTAGCTGTCACTTCCCATGAGTTAGTGTTTTGTTATCCACCATGGAAAATGACAGCTAATAGATAATTTGCCACAGCGAATGATATTTGTAATTTCCACTTTTTTCAACTCATTCTGAATCTAAATTAAAAACGCTCTCTGAAAAAGTTCACAATTTATTCTATTTTTTTAATCATTCTACCATAATTTTTGAGAATTTCTACATGATGCACCACTCAATTGACAATTTTGGATTACGAAAGATAAAAAAAATCCAGATAACATTCGAAAGATAGTACACCCGGGCCTTAAAACAGAGTTAAAATGAAGGAAATTGGGAAAAATATGAATTTAAAAGAAATCTTATATAATTGATGTTATCTAATTATAATTATTAAGGAGAGGAGGAGGGCCACACAGGTGTAAAACAAAAAAAAACATTTATAACGCCAAAGAGATGAATAAATAAAAATATATTGTTTATACCTTTCGTGACGACTCTCTGGGGAAATAGTTCCATTTCCAGCCGAGTCGAATTGATCCCCAGTTATGGACGTTGTGTCTGACGTGTCAATAAGACTGTCAACAGTACTTTCATTATCAATTGGGTCTTCCTGAGGTAGAACGACGACTGGTGTAACGTAGGTCCTTAATTCTGATTGTATCAAAAAGTTTGGTGGATTCTGTAACAGGAGAATGCATCAATTCATGGGATTCAACACAATTCATGATAACAGACTTTCGAACAGGAATTTAGGGGCTTCAGCTGCATTCAACTATTTCCTAATTTAATTATTCTCTGTTTTGTTATTTTCACTTCAAATCATTTTTGTCTAATTAAAACATTCTTGAAGGCCCCGGCCGATAGGACAAGCTTATAAGAGCTGCGGGACCCCCAAAAAAGCGCTTTTAAATTGACCGAGCGACTAATGCGTAATTCTTTTCTTGAACAATGAAGTATGATCACGGAATGTCACGTAACTAATTTCCAATCAATTGTAGGCGTCGCAACTATTTATTATCGACAATTTAATTCTTCAAATCGCCCTAGCGCCCAAACTATGCAAGATATACGAAAATTTTCGGATCACGAATCATTTAGAATTTGATAAACAATAATTTTTGTTTTTTATCAATTTCGTACATCTTCAGTTTTCGACATATGAACAAGGAAAGAGTTGCGTGACCCAACACAGCGCTCTCAAGCCCACCACGCGTAACTAGTTTATTGCTCATATCTCGGAATCTACGAGAGATACGTCAAATCGATAATAGATAAAAATTATTCCTTATTAAATTCTAAATGATTCAAGATTTGAAAATTTTCGTCTGTACTTCCTAGTTTGGGTGCTAAGGCGATTTGAACAATTCAATTGTCAATAATAAATAATTCCAATGCCTAAAATTAATTAAAAATGGGTTACTTGACGTTTAGTGATCATATTTTATTGTTTAAATCAATAATTACGCATTAGAACGCGAGTGGTCGGTACACGTCTGAAAATCGAGGGTGTCCCACAGCTCTATATGGGTCAATGCATGGTATCGACGCCGTACGTGAGGGGTTAACCGTCCTGCAATCGGGTTGTTCACCCTAGTCGATAAAAATTCATGGAAAAAACATTGGTCACCTCTCCCCATCGGGAGCTGACACCCCACTCACCTCAGGCAATCCAGGTATGGTGATGAGATGCTTAAAGTACTGCATGTGTTTAATAGTATTATAAAAAGTCTTGAGCTCCTGGAACTGTTTGGAGAACCTGTCCCTGTGTCCCAGCAGTGTATCGGCAGGCAGAGCCCCATGGAGTTTGAAAAGTATCTTCACACAGTAGTCGTACAGCTGCGAGGCATCCTGAATGCAGGGGATCAGTGGTGCCAGTCGACACTGGCCACAGGGCGTCATCGAGTTAGATCTGGAGAGGTCGAGAGACCCGAAGACTGCCCTCTGGAGGTTCAGGATGTCGTCCATGTAATCAAACATCTCCACCGACATCTGGAAGTAAATGTTGATGTCGTTCTCACCGATCGCCTCCAGCTCCTCTGTCGTCACCTGGAGATTGCCAGGCAGCCCTGGATTTCGGTTGTGAAACTCCAGTTTTGTGATCAAGAGGCGAATGTAGAGGTGGATGAGCTTGCCATAGCCCTCGCGCAGGTGCTGCCAGAGCTTCCCGAGGTCCTCGAGCCTCTTCTTGTGGCGCTGGGAGTCCGGGATCACTCGGGGGTGGCCCTCCCTCAGGACTTTGTGGAGAACGTGACAGAACTTCCAGGCGACGATTCGGTGCTCCTGCAGCGGCTGGCGCAGCACAAATGTCCAGAATACTGTGCCACTCTTCTCTTGGTATGTGCCGATTATCGCGCCTGGGTGGTGGGTTTGTTAAGGATTTTTCAGAGGTTTCGGGGTAGTCGTTGAGAGAGAATCATTACCTCATTGTTTAGTGGTTTCTTGTCGGGTTTAGGGGAGAATTTTTGGATTGAAGGCCCGGGTGTACTATCTTTCGAACGTTATCTCCATGTTTTTTTTCATCTTTCGTCATCGGAAATTGTCGATTGAGTCCTGCATCATGCAGAAGTTTTGAAAAATTATGAATGAACTAGGGGGCTACGCCCCCTGCTCGCTTCGCTCGCCAATCCCGGGGGGGGCTTCGCCCCCTCCTGTGTGGCTATGCGGGTATGACCATGGGGGTTTGTTCAATACTTTCATTGTTAAAATTCTATTGTGAAATACATTCATTGGCCATCAAATAGAATACCCCACTCAAACCACTCAATATTTTCCATCCATTCGTATATATTCTGAAACTCCATTTATATTCGACATAACCCTTATGAACCTTACATCCCCATTAGAATTTATGACCCTTCTATCCCCATAACCCTTGTTCCTGACCCTTATATCTGACCTTTGTCCCTGACCCTTGTTCTTGACCCTTATGTCTGACCCTATTTCGTGACCCTTATATTAAGCGTCGCCTGAATTTATGGGTCTCCTGAATTTTCCCTCTTATTTTTTTATTATATAGAGAGATAATTAAAAAAAAGTAGAAAAAATTCTTAATTTTTTCAAAGAGCATTTTTAATTTGTATTCAGAATAAGTTGAATAACAAGAAATTGAAAAATGTATCTGATTTACGGTGACAAATGGCGGCCTGTCACCCAATATCATGCAGGGGGAAGACTGATTTCGTAAATCTTTTCCCACACTGCACACAGACATTTATTACGGAAAAGGCTCTTTGAAAAAAGTTGTAATATTTTGGAGAATTTTTTAATCACACTTTTATCACATAAAAATAGCAGATGACTACATACCACTGTTTTGAAAATTGAGATACCTAGCTGTCACTTCCCATGAGGAGTTAGTGTTTTGTTATCCACCATGGAAAATGACAGTTAATAGATAATTTGCCACAGCGAATCAGATATTTGTAATTTCCACGTTTTTCAACTCATTCTGAATCTCAATTAAAAACGCTCTTTGAAAAAGTTCAGAATTTTTTCTATTTTTTTTCATCATTCTATCATAATTTTTGGGAATTTCTGCATGATGTACCACTCAACATTGTCAATTGACAATTTTGGATTACGAAAGATAAAAAAAATCCAGATAACATTCGAAAGATAGTACTCCCGGGCCTGAAGTTTTCGGTAAACTTTTGGGAATTTTTTTTTCAGAACTTCAAGAGATTTTAACATTGAAAATTCAAAATTTAACACCTGCGTGTACAGTGGTTTACTAAAGTTCTGAAACCATCTGACCTTCCATCCTATGTATTTTGTTTCAGAACTTTAGTAAATGATTGTATTATCTTTCGAACGTGATCTTGATTGCTTTTGCTTCCGAATGGAACCGAGTAAATCTCTTCATTAGGGCGAAGAGTTCCCTCTCTAATTATTCTTCTCTTCATTTTTTCCACTTCAAATTTTTGTTTTTTCCGAATTTATATATTCTTTCATGTCTAGAACTCATTTTTCATTCATTCAGCTACTTCATCGATTTCAAATCCTTTAATGAAGTTCAACATTTCCTGAACCGCCCAGCCGCCCTATTTACCCCACACACGGGTCTTATTTAAAAACTTCATTTTTCCAATTACTCCTTCCACTCTCGTCTAAAAATCATCTCATCCTGTCCACGAAAACCCAGCAAAAAATTCTTCAAGAAATACTTTCTTCACAGAAAAAGGATACTGCGCACATGTTTCTCCTTGACCGGCGTCTCGGTGGGATTGACAGCCTTGGAGATGGCAATATTCTGAAACAAAGCCAATGAAAAACCCCATTAAATCTCCAATGACCTGAAAAAACTGCAAGACATGAATGAAAAATTCCACAACTCTACATACAAAAATAACAAATCACATCTCACCTGTTGCTGGAGCATTTTACCAGAGACTGGTGGGACACTGTTCATGGTTAGTGGCTAGAAATACCCGAAAATTGCCCACGAACAATAAAAATCCTCAACAATTGTGTTAGAGTGTCATAAAAATTTGCAGTTGGCCCTATCAATCGTGGAATCGATAAAAATTGGTCATCCAAGTCGTGCTGAAGCTTCAGATCTGCTTGGAAATTCAACAGATCATTGTTAGTCGGCTGTTAGATCCACATGCAGGTTACTGGAAACATGACACATCACTTGGGTTATAATTCATGCATTAATTAGTCGGATGATCAGGTGAAATATGAGTCAGGGGGGATCATTTCACAGTTGAGTCGGAGAAGATAAAAAGTATTAATTATTTTTGAGGATATCCAAGTACTTTGACTATTTTTTCTCCAGTGAAATGCTTTTCTACTTTTGTAGTCTAACATCAGAGCTTTCATTTCAGCCAGGTTTGACCCCAAGTTTACAAATATTTTACAATTATTTTATTATTTATACTTTACAGGTCTGAATTTGAATCTCGATGTTGGACCGTTACAAAACATTTCAAAAATCGGAAAAAAATTCGAAAGTTTACTTTTTGAGGAAGATTGATAAAATAATTTCAAAATTGCAATTTTTTTAAAATTACGAGCATTTTCTAGAAACAATTTGTAAACAATTAATTTTCTACGATAATCATTTGTTCGGATTCGTAACAAATTTATTCATATTAAGAATTTCATGAGAAATCAATTTCAGGCCTAAACAAATAAGGTTTCGGAAAGTTTAAACAATTTCAATTATTTATTCATAAACCACGAATGTTTAAAAAAATAATTCTGTGTAAAATGTAATGTGAATAACGCTGAATATTCATAATTTGTCAGGGGGGATCATTTTACAGTTGAGTCGGAGAAGATAAAAAGTATTATTTTTGAGGATATCCAAGTACTTTGACTATTTTTTCTCCAGTGAAATGCTTTTCTACTTTTGTAGTCTAACATCAGACCTTTCATTTCAGCCAGGGTTGACCCCAAGTTTACAGATATTTTACAATTATTTTATTATTTACACTTTACAGCTCTGAATTTGAATCTCGATGTTGAACCGTTACAAAACATTCCAAAAATCTGAAAAAAATTCGAAAGTTTACTTTTTGAGGGAGACTGATAAAATAATTTAAAAATTGCAATTTTTTTTTAAATTACGAGCATTTTCTAGAAACAATTTGTAAACAATTAATTTTCTACGATAAAAATCGGTAAATATATAGTATCACTCCCCCCCCTCCGATTTCAGGGAAATTTACAGGGAATCATTTGTTCGGATTCGTAACAAATTTATTCATATTAAGAATTTCACCAGAAATCGATTTCAGGCCTAAGAAAATAAGGTTTCGGAAAGTTTAAACAATTTCTAGGTAAATCTGTTTCTGAGTTATGAATATTTTTAAAAAAGTCAGAAGTGTTCATTTTACCCCACCCTCCCCTACTCCGAAAATCTCATTCTCATTTACATTCAAGAGGTTCTTTACAATTCAGCAGCGAACCGGTACAACTGTAAAAGTCGAGTCAGTTCTCATCTGAGTTTTCGAGGAATATCTCCCAATCTGAGGGAGATACCGAAATTTTCGTAATTACCTTTTTTGTAGCTCTCGACTCGCTCTACAAAAACTGTTATAACAAAAATTTTGCTATTCCCCTCAGATTTTGAGATATTCGCTGAAAACTGACCAATAGTCAAAATCGACTAAGTTGATTTCTCATGGCCAGTTTTCAATGAATATCTCCGAATCTAGGGGAGATAGCAAAATTGTTGTCATGACCTTTTTTGAAGCCCTCGACTCGCTCTACAAAAAAGGTCATGATAAAAATTTTCTTATCCCCCTTACATTCCGAGATATTCATTGAAAACTGGCCAATAGTCAAAATCTCCTTAAACAGTTCTACCGTTTCGCGACTGAATTCCTCAAGCTCCTGAAAAAATCATGAATATTCCACTTATCCATTACTCTTATCACCTCCCCCCTCTCATCTTATCAGGCCCCATTTCCCACTTCGCCGCTTGAAAAATCGACAATCGCCTTGAAAAAACCCTCGAAAGACCAATCCTCCCCGACAAATCCCTCAACCTCAAGAATAATCTCCGAAATCTCACCTGAAACTTCTCGAAATGCTCACGCTGAAGGTCCAGAGAGGTCTTCCTCTGCTGCAGAACCCTCGGGAGTGATATCGAGGCCATGTCCCCTCAAAACAAATTTTCCACTTGTCACAACAACTTTCCTGACATCCCCCCGGGAGCCAGCAACCCCCTCCCACCGATCGACACTCTCCGCCGAGTCCTCACAACACCCCAAACAAAAACAAACGCCCGAAATAGCTCCACAACTCGATGTTCAAGTTGAATTGACTCGACTGAAAAATTAATTCACCACTTTTTCCACTGATCAACGGATGTCGCACGTTTTTTATGGTTCAAGGGTCCTCGGAGGTGATTCAGAAGTACTCCAGACCCACCCACATGAGCTGATATCAACGCACAACTGGCCCGACAGCCACTGAATGATCATCAGACACACGAATTCGTTGGATGATAAAATGTGTGAATGACTGGTGAGCAGGGACTGGGGTTAATGTGTGTTGGTGGGACACCGGAATAGGCCAGTTCCGTTGAATCGCACTTTATGAAGATAATTATGCGACCGTGTACACCCGAATGAGTGAATGGACGGTGGAGAACTGAGGGGAAAGGTCGTTTTCTTCGTTAGCGAGGGAGTCGCGAGCTCTTGAGGCGACATCTGACGAGTGGATGTTTCTTCGGGGGTTTTTAGGAGATAACTCGGGAAGGGATGGGTGTAGGGGAAAATGTTATAAAACCTTTTTTGTAGAGCGGAAAATTTCGGGAAAAAAAGGTTTATTGAGATTTTTTGGCAGAGGGGATAGTTAGTGAGATAATTGGGAAATTGTAGGGAAGTGGTGCGGGCTGGGGAGGATTTTGGTTATTATTTGAGAAAGGGGTGGGTTTGGGAGGAAAAGTTGATAAAGATGTTTTGTAGAGCAGAAAATTTACTATGGAAAAGGTCCTAAGAGGTTTTTTGATTGAGCGGATCATTACCGAGATAATTGGGGAAAACGGTGATGAGCATTGGAACATGCCAGTAATGGGATAATAACATCTAGAAGGGGTGAGTCTAGTGGAAAATGTCAAAAAAAAATTTTTGTAGAGCGGAATATTCTGAGCAAAAAAGGTTTTTTGAGATTTTTTGGCAGAGGGGGTAACCAATGAGATAATTGGGAAATTACCGGGAGGTGGTGCGGGCTGGCGAGGGTTTTGGTTATTTTCGAAAGGGGTGAGTTTAGGAGGAAAAGTTGATAAGGATGTTTTGTAGAGTAGAAAATTTACTACGGAAAAGGTCATGAGAGGTTTTTTGGTTGAGCGGATAATTACCGAGATAATTGCGGAAAACGGTGATGAGCATTGGGACATGGCAGTAATTAATTAACATTTTTTATTTCATTTATTTTTCTTTTTTTTATGATGAAATCGCATAAAAGATTTTTTCCGGAACGTAAAATTCTCTACAAAAAAGTTATTTTAACCTTTTTCGGGACAGTGCATGATTGCAGAGATAATAGGGAAATTAAGAAAAGGGGGTGACAAAGTTACGACCTCTTTGGTAATTTTACAATTATCTTAATGAGGAAGGGGTTTTGAGAAAAATACTAAAAGAGCTTTTTGTAGAGTAGAAAATTCTTTGCGAAAGAATCTCTTTTGGAAAATTTTAATAAATTCATTTTTCGTCCCGTGTGCGCATATAATAGCACTTTCCACGCATTCTCATGAAAAATAGGGTTTGGCACTAGCGGGGAAAGTGTTCTTTGACCCTTCGGAGGGTAACACTTACACCTCCCACGGGTCAAAAACCACTTTTACGGACTCGTATCTAAATCTAGGGGCGGGTGGGGTAATAAAGTGGACACTAGACTTTTTTTAATGATTCATAATTCAGAAACAAATTTATCAGCTGAAGTCAATTTAGGCTCGTCACAAAGGGAAAGAATTGTTCTTTGTATTGAAAAAAAAAGTAATTAAATTTTATCAACATTTCAACCCTTCATTAACATTTAAAAACCAGTCAAAAGTGTCCGTTTTTTACCCCAACCTCCCCTACTACTGGAAATCTTAAAGTCGAGGATGTAGGAAATGTGAGGGTATTTCCGTGGAATAAAGATTCCGGGATACTGTCAACTGAATATTTTATTCACACACTTAAGGTAAGTAGAATAATTAATACAAAAAACTTGCCAAATTGACATGGGCTTAGCCGACCGATATTAAATTTTCAATTAATGCACTTATTGAATCGATTGCTAATCGTTTGCCGATGATTGAAGTGCATTTCATAACGTTTGATAATAATTTCTTGAATTATAAAAAATTAATCAAATTTCGCCCATGTGTTTAGCCGACCAACATAAAAATAGTATATTTCGTAACGAGTGCAAAAAAGTGTTTTTTGGCGAGTGGGATAATCCCACGAGCTAAAAACCATTTTTTCACGAGTTACGAACAATATTTTTCATCACAATGTGGCAGAAATTGGAATTTTAGGCACGCGGAGCGTGCCGAAAAGTTCACTTTTCGTCACAGCGTGATGAAAATGAATATTTTTTCAAGTTTTTTTTTTGAAAACGTGCACATGGGCACAAGTGGGAAGAATACTGTTTTATCGACCGTCAGTAGAACTCAGGCCGGGCCACTAACTCCTGCTTGCGCCGCTGGCGCTGCTGAGGCCTGACGGTCAAGTCCCTAGGCGAAGTTGATGTCAATGGCGGCGAGGGGGCCACAAGGAAAGTGCCCGTGGCGCCATCTGACGGATCTAGCGCGAGAGTCCACGCTCTACGGTTTTTCGGTGATGGGGGAGTTTGAATGAAGCTGAACAAAATGCAACAAAACGCGGGATTGAACGGTGTGGAGAACATCAACCGCTGATTTTTCCTCAAAAAATATAGAATAAAGGCGTTTCTGAAGGGTTTCGTGAGGGGTAAGTGAGTTTCGAAAGGTTGCCAAGGACTTGCTGAAGAGTTTGAGGTCTCGAGGGCGTGAAAAAACATCCTCGAGATGGATTTCCTGGAGTATCCGGACATCACTGCAGAGGTTAAGGGCGCAATGGTAAGCTCACTTTGTTATTTCATTCTTTTAACATTTTTTTTGAGTTTTTTGTTTATTTTATTTTATTACTGTACCATGAATTGCATTCATTCCCATTAACTGAAGAGGAATCTTGTCCTGGAGGTTCAGGATAATTATCTTTATTTATGTTTATTTATTTATTCATTTATTTGTTTAAATATGTACTTATTTTCGTGACCCTTCATTTCTGACCCTTAATTTTGGAATTTTAATTTCGAATCCGTAATTTTCATCATCCGAAGTCGTTTTGAATTTTTATAGACCCTTATTTTGACCCTTAATCTGACCCTCATGACTTATTCCGACCCTCTTGACCCTTATTCTGAATTTCGCGACCTTTATTCTGAACCTCATAACCCTTGTGACCCTTATTATGACCCTCATGACCCTTGTTTTCACCCTTACGACCCTTATTTTGACCCTTGTGACTTTCCTGACTTTTATTCCAACCCTCGTGACCCTTATTCTGACCCTCATGACCCTTGTTTTCACCCTTACGACCCTTATTTTGACCCTTGTGACTTTCCTGACTTTTATTCCAACCCTCGTGACCCTTATTCTGAACCTCACAACCCTTGTGACCCTTATTCTGACCCTCATGACCCTTGTTTTCACCCTTACGACCCTTATTTTGACCCTTGTGACCTTCCGGACTTTAATTCCAACCCTCGTGACCCTTATTCTGAATTTTGCGACCCTTATTCTGAACCTCATAGCCCTTGTGACCCTTATTTTGACCCTTGTGACCATTAATTTGGAGTCTTAATTTCGAGTACCAAATTTTCATCACCAAAAATCGATTTGGATTTTTACAATATAGAGAGATTTGGGCAAGAAAAATGTTTTTCTTCAGAAATTAATAAAAATTTTGATGAACGAAAAAATTAAAAAATGCATTTTCTGCCGCATTTTTCATAATTGCGGAGCGAAAATTTCAGATCATATTCAAAAAACTATTTCTTTAAAATACATTGGGGATTTTTGTTAAGTTGATTTCTCAATCAACTTATGAGACAATTATGACCTACAAAATCAGATTCCTGAGGAACAATCACGCGGAAGATGGTATTTTTAATTTTTCTTTTCGAAAAACGAAAAAGTTTTTTTTCCGGGCTGAACCTTCCCTTAAATCAATTTAATATTATCTCGACACTTTGTCGGTTCAATTTTTTTTCATAAATATTTTACCACAGATACCAGGTCGTCTAAAGCTGACCGACCAAGCCCTTCACTTCAAGAATCAAAAAACTGGAAAAGTCGAGCAGATCTCCTCCAACGACATGGAGATGGTGAATTTCCAGAAGTTCGTGGGCACCTGGGGACTCCGAATTTTCCTGAAGAATGGAATTCTCCATCGATTCAGGGGCTTCAAGGAGGCCGACCTGGAGAAGGTCTCCAAGTTCTTCAGTACGAACTACAACAAGGACATGCTGGAGAAGGAGTTGTCCCTGAAGGGCTGGAACTGGGGGACAGCTAAATTCACTGGTTCAGTCCTGTCTTTCGACGTTGGTCATCACACCGCGTTCGAGGTGCCCCTCTACAACGTCTCACAGTGCACAACCGGGAAGAACGAGGTGACACTCGAGTTCCACCAGAATGACGACGCCCCGGTCTCCCTCATGGAGATGCGCTTCCACATTCCAGTTTCAGACTCAGCGGAGACAGATCCTGTTGATGCTTTCCACCAGCAGGTGATGGAAATTGTTGCTTTTCTATTCTTTTGGGGGTACACTGAGAGAAAAACGACAAAGTTCTCAAACAAGTCTTACTTGTGCCAAGAAAATAGTTTTTTGAAAATTACGGAAAAGGCTCTTTGAAAAAAGTTGTAATATTTTGGAGAATTTTTTAATCACACTTTTATCACATAAAAATGGCAGATGACTACATACCACTGTTTTGAAAATTGAGATACCTAGCTGTCACTTCCCATGCGGAGTTAGTGTTTTGTTATCCACTATGGAAAATGACAGCTAATAGATAATTTGCCACAGCGAATCGGATATTTCAGTAGCTAAGCGGTAAAACGGTTCAAGTCAACTTAGCTCTCTACTGATTTTTTGAGGAATATCTCCGAATCCAAGGGAGATAGCGAAATTTTCATAGTGAGCTTTTTCATAGATCTCAATTCGCTCTACAAACAAGGTTATAACGAAAATTTTACTATTTGCCTTACATTCCGAGATATTCATTGAAAACTGACCAAAAGCTGAAATCGACTTAAACCGTTTTACCGCTTCGCTACTGATTTGTAATTTCCACTTTTTTCAACTCATTCTGAATCTCAATTAAAAACGCTCTTTCAAAAAGTTTAGAATTTTTTCAATTTTTTTTTGTCATTCTATCATAATTTTTGGGAATTTCTACACGATGTACCACTCAATTGACAATTTTGGATTACGAAAGATAAAAAAAATCCAGATAACATTCGAAAGATAGTACACCCGGGCCGTAAGTCCAGATTGAAATGAGAATTCAATTGAATATAATAGAATTTTTCACCACCAAATCTTCGTAATTTAGGTGATGGACAAAGCCTCAGTGATTTCCGTCTCTGGCGATGCGATCGCCACCTTCAAGGAGATCCAGTGCCTCACGCCCCGAGGTCGCTACGACATCAAGATCTTCCAGTCCTTTTTCCAGCTCCACGGAAAGACCTTCGACTACAAGATCCCCATGTCCACAGTATTACGTCTCTTCCTCCTGCCCCACAAAGACAGCCGTCAAATGTTCTTCGTGGTCTCCCTGGACCCGCCCATCAAACAAGGTCAAACTCGCTATCACTACCTCGTTCTGCTGTTCAACCAGGAGGAGGAAACGTCCATCGAATTACCGCTCACTGAGAAAGAACTCAAAGACCGATACGAGGACAAATTGCCTAAGGACTTATCGGGGCCAACTTATGAGGTCTGTAATCATTTTTTAATTCATGTAACAACAGGGGGACAATTCGTTAAGAGGAAAAAAACTCGGGAAAAACTTTCGGAAAAAACTCTCAAAAACTCGGGAATTTTTTGAGAAACAAATTTTTCAAGTAATAATTAAGTAATAATATTATCTATTCCATCTACTAGATCAATTATTATTGTCACGTTTTGAAAATTTCCTTGTTTTTCCTCATAATGACAAGATTTATTTGATTTCTGTTTAAATTTGGGGAGATATCTTGTGCTCAGGTTGCAATATATGAAATTACTTTGAAATTGACCCCAGAATTACTCGATTAAAGCTAATTTTCATCAACATATGGGAGTTTTCATTCAAACATTTAATTTCATTATGTATATTGTAAATTCTACTTAATTTGGATTTTTCTATGACAATTGGTCAAGTGAATGAAACTATTCATATACCATTTCAAAGGGTATTTGTTGTTATAGAACGTAAAAATCAGGAGAATTAGAATTTTAAAAAATGACGATAGAGTAAACAGGCCAACAGCTGGTCGATTAAGGAAATGTTGAACTTCATTAAAGGATTTAAAATCGATGAAGTAGCTAAATGAATAAAAAATGAGTTCTAGACCTCAAAGAATATATGAATTAGAAAAAAACAATAATTTGAAGTGGAAGAAATGAAGAGAAGAATAATTAAATGAGGGAAATGTGGAATATCGTCCAAATTCCCAATAACTGGACATTAGGGCCAATAGATGGACGGTCGATGGCCAGTACATGGACGGTGTGGAGGAATATAGAATTTCCATCCAGTTTATACAAACATGTGAATTTTGTTTCATTGAATGTGAAGAAATACAATGCCAAATAGATTCTTAATCTTCGGAATGTGATTCTCCTCCTGAAAATATTGTGCTATTTCCCACATTTGACTCTTTCGGAAGAGAACTTCTTTTTTTTCTCCACAACACTTTGTCACTGATGCTTAGCAAATTGCAGCGCCACCGCACCCAGCACTGTACCTCCCGAATATTTAATTTTTTTTTCGCTGTAATGTTGATATTTCGAGAGAAAAAAAACTTCATCACATGATTATACATAAGTTTTACTATCGATAATGATAACAATCCGGGCAGTTTTCATTCTATTATTTATAGAATTGGTCTCTTCACCCTAATTTTCTCATTTCCACATATTCACTGACGACCAATGCGCAATGATATTTCTCACAGGTACTTGGAAAGGTAATGAAGGTAATCATCAATCGTAAACTGACGGGACCCGGTAATTTCGTGGGACACTCAGGCACCCCAGCAATCGGTTGTTCCTTCAAAGCAGCTGCTGGATACCTCTACCCTCTCGAGCGCGGTTTCATTTACGTTCACAAGCCCCCAATTCACATCAGGTTCGATGAAATTGCCTCTGTGAACTTCGCCAGAGGTGGAGGAAGTACCAGAAGTTTCGATTTTGAGATTGAATTGACGTCTGGAGTTGTCCACACGTTCTCAAGCATCGAGAAGGAAGAGTATGGAAAGCTATTTGATTTCATCACCTCGAAGAAGTTGAGGGTGAAGAACAGGGGAAAGGGGGAGAAGGTTTCCTACGACAACGACTTTGGGGACTCTGATCAAGAGGCTGAGCCTGATGCCTATCTGGCTAGGGTGAAGGCTGAGGCCAAGGAACGGGATGATGATGCTGGCGATTCCGAGGAGGATGAGAGCACTGACGAGGACTTTAATCCTAATCAGGCTGAGAGCGATGTCGCTGAGGAGTACGATTCCAACCCTGGGACTAGCGATGACTCGGACGAGGAGGGGGATAGTGATGGCAGTGAGAAGAAGGAAAAGAAGGAGAAGAAGGAGAAGAAGAAGAGTAAGAGTGCAAAAACGGTGAGTTGGGGCTTTTGATGGGCAGAGGTAACTGTGAGGAGGACAAATAAGGGGGTATCGCTATTTCTACAAGATGAAAGTTTCGGGAAATTTAAAGTTAATGAAGAAAAAGTTAATCCACAGGAGCAAAAAATTGCAGACGACTGTATCTTTGATGCAGCTGTTATTGGACGTGGATACGTCCATGATCTTTCCTTCTTTCTCGAATTTCCTAGAAACTCCTTGCATTCCCTCGAATTTTCTAGAGACTCCTTGAATTTTTTTTTAATTTCAAGAAAATTCTCAAATTACCTCCAAATGTCTAGAATTTTCGAGAATTCAGATAAATGGCACTGCACATAAGGACCGTTTCCCAAAATGACCCCCCAAATTGAAAACATAGATGTGTCCACGTCAAAAAACATTTCATCCTTCAGAAACTCGTCCTCAACAAGTGATAATGAAAAAGATATTCATTTTGAATGAAAAATTTGACTGTTATTTTATGAATTGTTATCGGAAAGTGGACTTTCAAATTTATTACAATTTTTAGAGTTTCCTGACGATTTAAAATGGAAACTCAAATTCAATTCAGTTTTCAAGAGATTCAAAGAATAGAGTCCTTGTAAATCGTGATCTTTTTATGAAAAATAAAAATTCTGTGAAATTGGAATTGTTGATATATCCTCTAGATAATTGATTAGTTGATGAGTCAATTGAAATTTTCTTCAGATTATGACGTTTTCCATCAATGGAGAAAAGGTTATTCACACATTTTGCATTTTACTTGAGCAAAAACCATTTTATTATTGATCATCATCTTATGAGTTATATGAATTATTTATGAAATACTCTTTCATCCTCTCGACACTGAATTATTCATCAATGAGTATTGAAAATTCATTTTCATATTCACAGGTGAGTGAGAAACCGAGGAAGCCAAGGAAGAAGAAGAAGGAGAGGGAGGAGGGCAAGCCCAAGAGACCTGCAACAGCATTCATGCTGTGGTTGAACAGCGCCAGGGAGAAGATTAAACAGGATAATCCTGGAATCGCTGTTACCGAGATTGCCAAGAAGGGTGGAGAAATGTGGAAGACACTGGAGGGAAAATCCGTGAGTCTCAACTATTCTTTTCATCATTTTTAACAGAAAAAAAACCTAATTTGTCACTTGAAAACATTTTTTTATCGACTTTTATTGAAATTAACTTTCTTGTTCATTACCTTTTTTATGATTGGGAGTACTGACGAGAATGATAATTTTCTATTCGGTAGAAAAGAACATGCCGTGGGAAAAAATAATTGATATTCGAAACCCCTACAGAGCGTAGCGACTACCAGAGTTGGGCATCGGTCGGTAACCGCAATTTTTTACACGACATTGTAAAAAACCCGTAATTTACGTAATAAATGTAAAAAATGTCACAGAAAACCGACGCTACTTTCATCGTAAACCGTGAAGATTCATCTATAATTCAATTGATTAGATTAGGGCGACTACACTTTTTTTCTTTCATTCGATTGAAATTCAGCATTACATTTTCTTTTTTTTCCCTCTGGGGCTCCCCCTGGTCCTACTCTGGGCTTTGGATTTTGCTGTTTCATTTTCTTTTCAATTAATCCGTTGACAAGATCTTCTCCCGTCAAAATTTCTCAATAATTTTCCACTCTACTGAAGGAAAAATTCTTATTCTCGTCAGTACTCTCAATAATAAAAAAAAATTGATAAACAAAAATTCATTAAAAAAATTTGCTTTGCTTGAATTGCGTTAAACTGTCGTTTTTCGACTGTTTCATTTTGCCCCACTCTCCCCTGTATAATTTGAGATGGCCGTTTCTCCGAAAATTCATGGAAGGTTCTAGAAAATCATAAAAAACTTCACACCTGTCCACCAGTTTTCTGCGAGGCAGTTTTTACATTAATTTTGCGTGATTTTATCGTAAAATTACCCTAAAAATTTACAAAAACTTCTCCACTGATTTATCTACGAACCCCTTTCATCATCGATGCACTCTTCAGTTGCTTCGACAATATTCCAGGAAATTCTAGGATTTTCTAGTATTTCGCGTCTAAATGTCGATGTCATCGTGAAAAAAAATTGGACCCCAAAAAACACCCTAATTTTCTACATCTCCAATTCTCATTACTCGTTTTGAATTAATTCAGGAATGGGAGAAGAAGGCACAAAAATTGAAGGAAGAGTACGCAGAAGCGATGAAGAAGTTCGAGGCAACTGGTGGAAGTTTAAAGGACAAAGCAACGAAAGAGAAACCAGAGAAGAAGAAGCGAGAGACTAAGAAGGATTCGAAGAAAGAGAGTCTTTCTCCTGCGAAGCCTGGCTCCTTCAAGAGTAAAGAGTACATTTCTGATGACGACAGTAGCAGCGATGGAAGCAAAAAGAAATCTGATAAGGAGAGTGATAAGGAAAGTGAGGAGGAGGAGGAGGAGAAGAAGAAACCAGCTAAGAAGGGAGGGGAGAAACGCCCAGCAGCTGTGAGTTAATTTCGTCATTATTTTGGAAGCGAGAGATTTTTTTTTGCATCATTGAGAAAATTTCTAACAGAAACACCTCTGAGCAATTGAATGATTTCATATTCAAGAATAGTCTACAAATGGGGAATTACACAGTTTATCATAAATCAAATTGTAAATCAAATCATTGAAATTTGAGATTAATTCATGGATAAACTGACTGGTAATTTATTTTTAATTTGTAATGTTCAATAAGCAATTTATTGAATTTGTAATTATCGTAAGAGGAAGTGATATCAGAAACAAACAGCAGATTTTTTTTGTAACTGGAAAAATTTCGAGAAAAAAGTTCTTTGATAGGTCGTTTTCTCGAAAATCTTTAGCGAAACGCTTTAAAAATTGATAGTGAAAAATTTTGAATTGAAACTTTGGTATTAAAAATCAATTCTGGGACAAAATCCATGCAAATTTCATTTAAATTCATGACATTATTCAATATACGAAATGAGACTCCGAAATAAGGATAAAAATTGAAAATTTCCGTTGGATTGGAAGTTTTCATCAAAATATTTTAGTTTTCATTCGTTGGATTAATTTTATTGCAAATTTTCGAATTAATTTCTGTCATTTTGTTGTTCAGGAGGACAAAAAAAAGACGAAAAAGGGGAAAAAAGGATCGTCAGTGTCCAGTGAGGGAGAAGAGCCTGAAGAGAGCAACGCGTCCAGTGGAAGTGATTAAATACTAAACATAAATTATTAATAGAAGGAAAATTACACACTAATAAGTTAAAAAGTTGTAACAATGTTCTTGTATTGTTCCATGTATTTTTCCATTTTTTCCATTAAGAGCGAATAATAGTCTCCATTTTCAGTAAATATTCTATTTCAACTTCATTCAACATTTATTTATAGTTACAGAGAAATTAAAAATAAAGAAAAAAGAAAAATAGATTTTTTTTTCGTATTTACAGATCATTTTTCAAGGTCAATTGTCAGCTCGGTGCCTTCTTTTCATTCTCTGTGCCCAGATGGTTTACCTCGATGTCTTTCAGCTCGATATTCTGCTCTTTCATTGCTTTCTGTAAACAAATAATGAAATATTTTTAATTCATTTGGCATTACAGAGATTAATTCTTTGCATAAATCTATTGTCTTTTTATTCTTTCGATGTTGATTGAATTTATTTCAATTCATTAGACAATAAAAATTGAATTATTTAGGTTGACATTATGTCATTTCAATAATTACACGAATATTCCAAATGGACAAATCTCCTTTTGATAATTATGGAATCGACTGAGCAATTATTGACTTTAAATAAAATTGTAGAGAAACATTGTTCATAGTAAATTCAAGGATCTACAGAAAACGTCCTTTGATATTCAAGTCGATTCATTTCTCCTTATTAATTATCCAATTATTTAATTAACTGTTGCGTCTACCAAACTTTCTAGTTTTCATGCCCAAATGAAAATTATCAAACTAAAATTTAAAATAACTTCAATGATTGAAAACATTCAAATTTTCTTCAATTTTTTACTGATTTCTAACGTTTCAGAATAGAAAATGTAGTTTAGATTGAAAAAAGGCTAGTGAATTATTGTGAAATTTCTGAATGAAAGCGACATTAGCTTCGATTTAAAGGGGAAAAAATTACAAGATAATTCACACTGAAAATTCAATGGAATTAACAATTTTCGAGAAGCAGGAATTTATTTGAACTTCCAATTAATTGAAGACGAAGAAATTAGGAAATTGACCTGAATTTTCTTAATTTCTATTAATTATTATCGAATCATTGCGCTAAAATTTACAGCTTCCGTTGTTTTTTTTGCTTCCAAATGGAAGCTTTGTATTCGTTGAATCCGAAATTTCTCATTTTTTGTGTCGTCAAATTCAATTTAAAGAAAATCGTCATAGAAATTCCATTCAGAAGCAAATTGCTAATGAAGCGGTTTCTTCGGTTTCTGTTCAAATCTGTGGGGATATCTCATGCTCAGGTGAAAATATATCAAATTACCTTGAAATTGACCCCAGAATTACTCGATTAAAGCTAATTTTCATTAACATATGGGAGTTTTCATTCAAACATTTAATTTCATTATGTATATTGTAAGTTCTACTTAATTTGGATTTTTCTATAACAATTGGTCAAGTGAATGAAACTATTCATATACCATTTCAAAGGGCATTTGTTGTTATAGAACGTAAAAATCAGGGGAATTAGGATTTAAAAAAATTACGATAGAGTAAACAGGCCAACAGCTGGTCGATTAAGGAAATGTTGAACTTCATTAAAGGATTTAAAGTCGATGAAGTAGCTAAATGAATAAAAAATGAGTTCTAGGCCTGAAAGAATATATGAATTAGGGAAAAACAATAATTTGAAGTGGAAAAAATGAAGGGAAGAATAATTAAATGAGGGAAAAGTGGAATATCGTCCAAAACCCCAATAACTGGACGCTAGGGCCAATAGATGGACGCTCTGGAGGAATATAGAATTTTCATCCAGTTTATACAAACACGTGAATTTTGTTTTACTGAATGTGAAGAAATACAAGGCCAAATAGATTCTTAATCTTCGGGATGTGATTCTCCTCCTGAAAATATTGTGCTATTTCCCACATCTGACTCTTTCGGAAGAGAACTTCTTTTTTTTCTCCACGATACTTTGTCACTGATGCTTAGCAAATTGCAGTGCCACACCACCCAGCACTGTACCTCCCGAATATTTCATTTTTTCTCGCCGTAATGTTGATTTTTCGAAGAAAAACTTCATCACATGATTAGATATAAGTGTTATTATTGATAATGATAGTAATCCGTGCAGTTTTCATTCTATTATTTATAGAATATCCAATAGAAGGTGTGCAGACAAATTGTAAACAGATAAATCGCAATTATCCTCAATCAACGACCCCTCGAAGAAATATAATTATGGTGCATTGACACGTGCCTCCACACACTCTTTATAAACCTTGAGAAGAGGTGCACAGATGGAATCATCAGTGTCCCCTTTCATAAACCTCTCGGTAAACCAATTATTGAAGCACTCATCATAGGTCTTCTTCAGCTCCTGGCACGGCTCCATTCCTCCCTGCAATTAATCATCATTACGTAAACAAAAGAATGAAAATTACCTTCACACATTGTTGATAAACTTTGAAGAGAGGAGCGCACATGGAGTCATTTGTATCTCCTTTGAGGAAATTTTCAGTGAACCAAGTTTGAAAACACGCGTCGTACTCTCGCTTAATGTCATTGCATGCTCCACCTAGGCTATTCATTTCCTAATTCAGTTATCACTTGTCCTGAAAGAAGACAAATGACTCCACATGTGATGATCATTAAGACAATTCAGTAGCGAAGTGGTAAAACGGTACAAGTCAATTTTGACTATTGACTAATTTTCAATGATATCTCGGAATCTAAGGGAGATAGCAAAATTTTTGTTATGAACTTTCTTGTAGAACCGATTGAGTGCTACAACAAATGTAGTGGCGAAAATTTCGCTATCTCCCTTAGATTCGGAAATATTCCTCAAGAACTCAACTGAGAGATAAGTCGACTTAAACCATTTTACCACTTCGCTACTAAATTACAGATTTTTTTAGGTCATGGAGTGGAAAAAATTTGACATGAATCAATAGGGAAATGCTGAAACGAGACAATTCATCCAAGTATGTGTAAATAAAATTTTTCTATTAACATTTTATCGAAGGGCTGAGGGGAGAGACAGAACCGTAAAAAAGACGATGATGATAACATTCAACTAACTTGAAAATCTGACGAAATTAGTTGAAGAGAAATCTTATTCAATTTAATAAAATGAAATAAACAATGAATTATGCTTGAGAGAAGGAAACGATGTGCATATTTCTAATTTATTATTAAAAAAACTACTATATGCAATACAAGAGCAATTTCCCACTTGTTTTGTTTTTAGTTGAGGGTTAAACTCTCTTAAGGGTCAAATGACCCTTTCTAGTTACTGCTCCAATCAGTTAGACCCTTAAGACCACTTGACCCTCAACTAAAAATGAAATAAAAAGAAAAAGTTCGTGAATTTGATCAAAATAGTGTTTTTCTCGAAGTTTCTTCCGGAGATATCTCTGTACTGAGTGGGTTTAGAAAAAAATGTCACAAGACCTTTTATGAAGAAGATAAAATTCCCTACAAAAAAGCTCTTTACAAAAATTATTCTATCTCCATTAGATTAGGAGATATCTGAGAGAATGAGAAATCGAAGTTGAGTGGATTTATCCAGTTTCAGCTGTACGCTACTACAATGACAGAAAAATCGTAAAAATTCTCTACTGACCTCGAATTGTTTGTTCCTATGATTCAAATCCAGTGATAAGAGGTTACGTTATGTTCCCCTTGATTTTCCTTTGTGATTTTCGTGGCTTTCATTCGAATTCTCAGGCGATTGTTTGTGATTATTGTTGATTTATGGTCGTTGATTCTTTCTGAGGGAGAATTTAGGGGGAGTACTGTCAATAAATGACGTAAAGTCGTGGTTTTTTGGTAACCGCGAAGAGCTTGCGCCAGGTGAGATCAATCATCGAAATTGACTGTTTCCCTGCTGATAATGGGGATTCCTGTGTTGAGTGAGATGGACTGGAAATGGAAAATGCAGGGATCTATCCTTCCGGCAAAATTCAATTTGTAGGACGGCCAGCCATATGTGGACGTCCGCATGAAAAGGGACCACTTTGGCACTATTGGAGTTATGTATATTCCCATAATCTTGATCTGATTCTGAACATTAAGAGCCCGGAATGGACTTGATAGCGTAAAGAGTGACGACGCTAAAGAAGATCGAAAAAATAATTTAACATGGGTTTAAGGGTGCCAATATCATAATCATAAAATGTTGATGAAATTTAATCTTTTTTTTTCAGTACAAAGAACAATTCTTTCCCTTTGTGACGAGCCTGAACTGAGCTCAATTCATAAATTTGTTTCTGAGTTATAAATTATTTTTAAAAAGTCTCAAGTGTCCATTTTACCCCACCCTCCAATAAACAAATTTTTTTTTCTAAATTCTTTGAGTATCTGTTTTACCCCAGGTATCCATATTACCCCGCCCTCCCCTATGTAAAAATCAAGATCGATTGGTTTTTATGCGAATCCCTCCATATGTAGGTGAAGGAGAACAAAATTGTGACAGTCAGACCTGTTTCATATCTCGCGCCTCGGCATCCGACTCTTCTAACCTCACGCCTCATCTGTGATCCATGTGACAGGCTCTATTGTTGTCGAGTGAGAATAATAAGAAGTGAGAATGGTGTCGAAGGACCAAGGGGATATGGATGACATTCGGAAGGATTCCGAGGTGAGTTTGTTGCAATATTTCCATCAATCTAATCAGTCTCAATCACTAGAGACAATTTCGAAAGGCGTTCAATCAGTTTGGAACAGGTAGAGGTTAGGAAACTCATAAATCTCGCAGTGGAATTTCTCCACTTTATTCAACAAATAAAATGTTCCGTCAAAAATTTACATTCAAGTTGATTGCGTAATTATCCCTGACATTGCATTCTTCACCACTGACAGAGAATTTTCTCAATGAAAGGACCAATTACAATGGAGTTCCTTCATTGTTTGACATATGTGATGCGCTGCATTGAGACGTCGGCTACAGAAATTGCCATCCCCATGTTTTAATTACACGATATACACAAGAAGTCTTGTTTGGGCCAACAAAATCGCTAGTTGAAAATTGCCAAAATGAATTGATCGAAAAGAATTTGTTTGGTTCGAATTTGAGAGTCTCAAACATGAATAATTGTTCTGCTTCCGACAGCAACGAAATATTTGACTCAAGAGGCGGATAACTCACACCAGACGGTGCCTTTTCAGGATGAAAATATCTCATACAGAGGAAAATTTATCAACAAATATTTTATCCCCAAATTACAAGATTGCTATCATATCATTATTATTGTCTCCTTTAAGGGTTCATTTCAGTAACGAAGCGGTAAAACGGTTCAAGTCGACTTAGCTCTTTACTGATTTTTTGAGGAATATCTCCGAATCTAAGGGAGATAGCGAAATTTTCATGGTGAGCTTTTTCATAGATCTCAATTCGCTCTACAAACAAGGTTATAACGAAAATTTTACTATTTGCCTTACATTCCGAGATATTTATTGAAAACTGACTGTGACGTGTGGAGATATTCACACGTCGATTTTATTCAATTAATATTTTCTAGATAGAAAAAGTCCCAAATGCTCAATAAGCAGTCTCACGGTGACACCTGAGTCCAGCTTCTCAGAATGGAGCTGTTTGATTGTCTTAGCCATTGTCAGTGATGGACATATGGCCGTGTTAGTTAGAAAAACCGTGAGAACACTTATTTAGCATTTTCGGCCAGCAACGACTTTGAAGCTCTGGAATAGGGCAGAGTACGGCAGGAGTTGAAGATGGACGGACGTCCTCTCCTAGCCAAAAATCTATAGTAGATCCGCGTCGAAACCGAACATATTTAACAGTTGATTTTATACTTTACCTATCTATTCAATATAATGTCAATTATTAATGTAACAGTGGTGCTCGATTGTTTTATACGAAGAATACCTAATCAAATCCTATACTAGTCGCGTCACGTTAGATCTTGAGAGAAATCTGCGTGAGCTCTGACCGTAGCTAGTTGAGCAATAGTTTTTAAATCGACTGGTGACTTAATTAAGGGAGGTAGAAAACCTCTCACGTCACACTGACCAAAAGCTAAAATCGACTTAAACCGTTTTACCGCTTCGCTACTGATTTGTTGTCTGTTATTATTAGACAGCCGAAACGAAAAACTACTATCCCTTGTTTCGCATAAAACAAAGATTTTTCGGGAGCAAAATACGTATGGGAGTATCGAATAACGAAGGAGTTGTGCTAGAAATAATATTTCTTGTGTATACAGAGAATGCAATTTTTTTTCAACTACTAAATCAATTTAAGCGTCAAATATTTTTCATTCCGGCGCACTCTCTGCATGTTTGGCACAAAAAAATCCTTTTTTGATAATTTTCAAAAAACTATTTTCTTGGCACAAGTAAGATTTGTTTGAGAACTTTGTCGTTTTTCTCTCAGTGTAGGAGAGGCTGGGGCAAAATAGGATTGAAATCTTGAGTTGGGTATTGAATTTTTTACGATGTTCATAACTTAGGATTAAATTTATCAATTGAGCTCAGAGCAGGGTCGTCACGAAGGGGAAGGATTGTAGATTAGATTTTTCATTACATAAAATGTATAGCCTTGCGTGGCCTTTTACATTCCCACCGGTAACACAGTACTTACAACTAAACTTAGTTTTAACAATCTACTCGTTCGTTTTATCATATTGAGACTTATATTTATCTTCTCAATCATATTGAACATAACAGCTTTCTCTTATCATTCTTGTTTTTATACGCTTATACTCTTGGTTTCAGTCATTTTGTATTTGGATAAGTACCTATTCATGTGCAATTATCTCTTTTTAAAATATTTTATAGTTTGGAGATATAATTTTTTTTCTCGTTTGTCCGTTTTTTTCCAATAACTCGAGTTCTATCCATCTAATTTTGATTTCTTAAACGTCAAAATTGTTCATTTTTTACTGCCTATAAGAGTATTCTCTGTAAAAAAAAATTTCGATCTTTAGATACTCATAATAACAAATTTTCGAGAAAAAAAAGTTGAAAAAGTTGAATTTTGCAAATTATGTCACTTTTGATTTGCGTCATTTTTTTCAGTAATTCTTATAATCAGAACAAGTATTTTGAGCCCTCATATCAAATTGGGAGTCCTCCTGAATCTATTTTATTTTCAATTTTTTCTATTCGAAAGTCTGTAAATTTGGTCAAAACAACACAAAATGGCGTTGATTGACTTTGATTATAGAAAGTATGAAGTAAAATTGCCTGTATACCTATATATTACATATTTTTTCGACACATAATCGAAGCCGTTTGGTTTTGCTAGAAATCCTGCCTAGAAAAAATTAGTACAAATTTACTAGAAATTTCCTGCCTAAAAAAATGAGGTTTTCAAAAGTTTAATTTCATCAATCTTTCTTCATAAGTAAACTCTAATTTTTTTACATCCTTAAAAGGTTTTCTAACCGTTCAATGTCGCGATTCAAATTCAGACCTGCAATTTTAAATAATCAAAACATGGTAAAATGTCCGGAAATTGAGGGTCAAATGAGGCTCAAATGAAAGCTCTGATGTTCGACTATAAAAGTGGAAAAGCATTTCACTGGAGAAAAAATAGCCAAAGTATTCACATATCCTTAAGGATACCCAACACACTATGAATTCAACCATTTTCATACGGCAAATTTGTTAATTAAATGGCGTGAGAAAAATTTAAAAAAATCCTGAATATTCAGCATCATTCAAATTACATTTTGCACAGAACTATCATTTTTTAAACATTCATTGTTTATAAATAAATAATTGAAATTGTTTTAACTTTTGAAAATCTAATTTTTTTAGCCATGACATCGATTTCTGGTAAAATTCTGAATATAAATAAATTTGTTACGATTCTGAACAATTGATTTTTACGGTAGAAAATTGATTGTTTATAAAGTACCTATAGAAAATGCTCGTATTCTTCAAAAATTTAGATTTAAAAATTATCTTATCAATTTTCCGCCAAAAGTTGACTTTCCAATTTTTTTTAGATTTTTAAAATGTTTTCCAACGGCTCAATGTCGAGACTCAAATTTAGACCTCCAAAGTTTAAATAATAAAATCATTGTAAAATGCCCGGAAACTTAGGCTCAAATAAAAGCTGATGTTCGACTACAAAAGTAGAAAATCATATCACTGCGTAAAAAATAGCCAAACTATTCTCGAACATCCTTAACATCGAATTTTCCATCACCCCTAACAACATAAAATACCCCACAATGAATTAATAATCTACCTACTCTCATATGAAGTCCAAGGTGAAAGAAATGCCAATACTGGCTCTAGAATTTTTTTCCATCGATATTTACTAGCCTCAGAAAACGAAATTATGTCACGGTGAGAATTTCTCACGTGTCATCACGTCCGCCCCTTCCTTCGCACCCTCAAGCGCACTAATAAATATTATTCCGCCGCAACTATCCGTCAGGTACCCAACGCCCCCCC